ACTTGTCTGCCACTACACACCAGGTGTCCTGAGTGTCAGCAACAGCCCAGCATGGCAACATCAACAGCAAACGTCGGCCGCCCAAACAACAATGCGCTACTGGCTCTCATGGCCGTGTTGGCCGCGCTCGGGTTCTATACCATGCGCATCACGACCGCGATGAACGATATTCCTGTGGGCTTTCTAGAAACAGCAGCGTCGGGCGTTTTCCCAAATGGTGTGCCTATCAAGAAGGACTACACGGGCATTCACTTGGTGGACGAAGGTCTGTCTTTCCTGGTGGCTGCCTTTCTATCCGGCCCGATGCGATGGAACGAGCCATATTACTGGCAACAGCTTTACTTCCTCATCCAAATCACGGCCCTTGTCACGATCAACAATGTGGAGGCGTACCGGCAGCGAAACCAGAATAGTTGGCTGAAATAGTAAGTCTGCCAATGTAGAATTTGGCGAAACCGGAGGTAACTGACGTTATGCAGTATCTCCATCTGGGCCTTCGTCTATCAGAATGTTGGAGCAGCTTGCATCGTCACTATCTGGTGGCTACTCCTCCATCGCGTCTCGCAGCCCAAAGCCTACTTCGAGAGCGGACGCACTGTCCCGTTGCCCTACGCGCGCGTGATCCTACCAGGCGTTTTCCTATTCTACGTCGTGCCTACGGTCGCATTGTTCCTTCCCGACCAAAGCGCAGACAGGATGCAAAAGCTCCTAGCATTCTGGCAATTCACACCCATCCTTACCGGCATCCCCATGTGGCTCGTTTCCCTCTCCGGTACCTCGACGACCGTTACCGCGAGCAACAGGAATGCGGATGTTCGACACCTCAAAGTTCTCTACGCTCTCCTTTTCGTTCTTTGTGTGGCAACTCATTGGTACGCCATCCGCGGCATTTCCCTATCGACAGACCCCGATGTTACGTACGCCCGCGTCTTTTTACCCAGTACCTATACCTGGAAGAGGAACGCTGATTGGGGTCTGTTGTTCATCTTCCAGTGGGATTGGCTCATCATCGGACTAATGTACATTATCCCGTCGTGGGTCGCGGTGTGCGATGTGCAGCGGATGAGAAACGGAGAGGCTACGCTCGAAAATCTCTTTGAGAGCTTCCTTGTTATTGCGGCCCTGACGGGTGGTGGTGGCCCAGGCGCAACGCTTGCCGCTGTCTGGTTCTGGCGAGAGGCTGCACTGGCGGACATTGAGATTGCATCGGGGGCGAAGAAGGTGCAGTAATTGTGGAAATCGAAAGAACATTGCTAGGAAGATCAGGTCGCATTACCGATTGTGGACCACTAGTGACGAAGAGCAGAGTAACCACCAAGCCTATAGCTATGGAGAGTTCGAACCAGCATCCCAACTACCTGTATTACCTATGCCAATATTGGCTGTTATTTATTCGTCTAATTCCCTCCTATCACATCCATAACCCCCAACCCCCCTCCTGCCAATCTCATTGTACTCGCTACCAAGGTCTTCTAAGATTGTTCGTCCAAATTCAGCGCCAGGAACGCGGCTTCTAGGTCTTCCGAGGTCCCAAACGCTACCGTTTGCACTAAGTCTCTCCACCTTTCAGCCCTGTCGACAATAACAAGTAGCCGTGCGTCTGACACCCGGACATCTGAAGGGGTTGCAGGAGCGATCATTTGATTTTGCTGCAACATGGTGTAAAGTCGCTGCAATGGTGATGAATGCTCGTTCTCGTTGTTGGTTCCCTGTACTAAGGCACGAACAAATCCGTTCACAATTGCTGACATATAGACTTGTGTCTGTGCTGCCTGTGTTGACGGTATAGGTGGCATAAATGCGTCAAGTAGCAACTGTGCTATCTCTCCAATCGCAGTCGTGAGTCGGCCTATATTTCGAGAGACATCATCGGGTGAGAGTGGTGTAGACATAGCGTTGGTCGATGACATGGTGGATGATAGTTGGGGGTGACCATAATGTGTTCTTATATATCCGCGTGAAAAACTTTTGTTTGCTTCACGAAGCCATCCAAGATATGGGTGGAAGGTTCTTATGACTAGGTACGAATTTACTCACACCCTCAGCATGTGATTAGTAGAGTGGGGTCAGCTGGCAGAATGGTAACTAATATTCCTAAAGATAAGGGCACTCATCCAGGTGCTTTAATATTCAAACATTGAGGCTCAACACTCGCAAAACCTTGACGAGTTATCTTCATCGTTGAAGGCCTCATGGTTGTGACAATAGCGTGGAGTACGCTTCCTTCACATCTCTTAAGAGCGGTGACCCCAGAACCTTCTCCCAATCCTCTTCGAAAACATTCTGCAGAGTCATAACGCCAATATCAACGAGCGACTTGGTCTCTTCCTGACCAGACCATGCAATTCTAGTCGGCCAGAATGCAATGTGAACTGCCCAATGCACCACCATCCTCGTTAGCCACGCCTTGCCGAGCACCTCTGTATGCCCACGAGCTGCAATATATGCATTCAAGAACACACCGAGTAGCCCTCTACCACCTCGAAAGCGATCAAGAAGAAATGCCTCAGCAGCGAATTGACCGACATCCGTTGCGCTGGTGCCGCGACGCACCATCTCCCAGTCCACGATGGTCAGCTCAACCGGCTGCAACTCAAGGTCTCGGACGAGGATGTTTCCAGGCCAGAAGTCGCCATGGCAGATGCACTCGTCGTCTGTTGCGAGAAGACTGCCGAATTTTTCGTTGATAAGAACAGCAAGCTGGGGGTCGTGGCCGAACTGCGTCAACGCGGTGTGCAGATCGTTGTAAGAGTATCGGTATACGCTGACAGCAATGGGGTTGTTGTTGCTGTCCACACCCTTATCTGGTGAGGCGAGCGAGAAGTTCCTTGCTGCAGTGTGCAGTGCAGCGAGCCATCTGGCAAGTTGCTCTCCAATCGACGACGTATCGAGCTTCGGGTCCGTATAAGCGTCCTTCAGGTTACGACGCCCGCCATCCTCGATCTGGAGCAGCTTTTCTGATTGATCGTAGCTCAAAAACCTCGCAGCGTGTACATTCGAGCTGGTAGGGCTCGTGGGTAGAGGGCTCCTCGTCGAAGATAGTGCTTCTAGAATCCGGACCTCATAATCCATACGGGCAGGATCGAGTGCAAAGTCCTTGTTGAGTTTCAGGACAGGCTCTGCATGTTTGAAGATGCTCGTGGAGCCGTCGTGCTTTGTGACGCGGAAGACGTAGTTTGCATTGCCTCCTGAGAGGAGCTGCACGCTAGCTGCTGGGAATTGGGTCGCTTCGAGGTATTTCTGGAGGCCTTTCTCATCCGTAAGATTGTAGGTACCCATGCTGGTAACCTGATTTCGCTACACTGTGTTGACCGATGTATGTGGTGCGGAACCTTGGAAGCCTGAGAGGTGGCTGGGAAGCACGATGAGGCAGCCACGGCGCCTTTTGTACATTATCGCTGCACGGTCTTCCGATATTGGAAGTCATTATGGGAGTGCAGTCCTGTGAGACCATGCGCACTAGCGACATGATACAAAATGAGTCATTTTGCAAGAGCTGCCCAGTGAAGGACTTCCTGGGCATCGACGGGCCAGATGCACCAAAGTGGGGTTGCGGGCTCGGCCAAGAACGGGCTAGCCTCTGTTCGCCGGGCGCTGCTTCCACCCCTTGAGGCATCCATTTTACCCCGCTTGAGACGATACCTCCATCAAAGTTGCACCCATCGTTACTCCAGAAGCGCACATGGAAGAGTATTCGCCATCTCATCTGATTCCGTTTTACTTATTCTGGCTTCTCTTCTTTTGCTGCGCTTGCTTAGATTGTGCATCGTCTTCCACTCACCAGTCGCTCGACCTGCGAGCGCTTCTACGCGATGGAGACGCTCTATCCGACGCGTTTATCGAATGGTCAGATGCGCCTGCTACACATACTACCCTCTCAAACTCCCGAGTCCTCAATCTCATGCGAGCTTCGCCAGTACGAGGTCGACGAAAATCCCGCATATGAAGCACTCTCATACTGCTGGGGCAACTCGAACGACGGACGTGAGATCCTCTGCAACGGTACAACGCACCTAGTCACGGCGAGCCTCTACCATGCACTTGTGAGGCTGCGGCTGAAAAGCGAGGTGCGGATCGTCTGGGCAGATGCACTGTGCATCGCTCAGTCTGATGATGAGGATAAGAGTTCGCAGGTCCGTCGTATGGATTTAATATATGTTCGCGCCAAACGCATCGTTGTTTGGCTTGGCCCCGTCGAGGATGAGCACGTCTTTAAGGTTAAGTGGCTTTTCGAATCTTTGGAACTGATCGATGGTGATCCGGAGGATTACGATTTCAATTGGCGCTTATCAGACGCAGGCGCAGCTTTCGGCGCTTCTTTACCATGGTATTCACTGCAAGTCTTCTTTTCTAACCCTTGGTTTCGTCGGATGTGGTGTATACAAGAGTTCAGGTTAGCAGCTAACTTGGTATACTACTGGGGAACGGAAGAACTCTCCAAGTATACTGCAGTTCGTCTAGCGACCTGGGAAATGAGGTACAGCCGATATCGGGGGTCACTCCTATACACAATCGTAACAACGTATGCTTGGAGAATGAACGGTCCATTGTCATCGGATAAATGTCGTCTTCTACAAGCTCTCGGCACTTACAGGCGTTGGCATGCTACGGATCCTCGCGACAAGGTATATGGTATACTTGGGCTGAAAGAGCTTGGCGAGGAAAGAGACATCATTCCCATTGATTACGAGAAGTCTGCCACAGAGGTCTTCCATGATGTTGCTACTGCTATCATCAGATGGACTAGCGATCTTGCAATTTTTGCCCACACCCACCATGACTTGAACTATGACGGCCACCAGGAATACGAGTCTTGGGTTCCTCAATGGGATCAGTGGAAGCCTTTACCACCTACTAAGATGAGGGGCGGGCTATCCCCTACGTCCAGCGCATACGGAGTGTATAAGTTTATTGCGCCGCGCAAGAGTATGACACAGCCATGCGGCAGGCGACTCGTGGTATGCGGTTCAGTATATGCAACTGTCTCTTGGAAGACAGTAATGCTAGGAAAGAACGTCTCGGACCTCGACTATGTTGGTCTGGTTGACAGCACGAAGATTCATATAGATTACCCGGTCGATATCTTTCTAGACTACTGGCGGCAGAAGGTATCCAAAGAAGCCCCGATAGGCAGCGATCTGAGTCCCGCGATGATCTCTATGGCACGCACATTAACTGCAGGAGAGGTTAAACATGGTTTCAGCTACAACGAAGCGAGCGAAGAGAATGTAACGGAATATCTACAGAGTTTCTTGGATTACATAAGACTTCTCTATGCACTCTCCGAACATGTAATAGAAGATGGATCAATCCAGTACGATTTTAGTGGGTCTGGAATGGGTTGGAAAGTTTACGCATCGCTCGCATCCCGTTGCTTCCATAAATGGGCACTGTTCCGTGCCGAAGACGAGTCCTACGGCCTGGGACCAGTCTGTCTACGAGAAGGAGATCTTATCGTGGTTCTCGAAGGAGCCTACATGCCAGTTGCGCTACGACCACGAGGCGAGAACTATCTTCTTTTAGGCGGCCAAGTGTACAAGGACGAGATCATGAGTGGAGAGGTGATCGAGGAAATGGAGAAAGGAATCCGGAAACGACAGCAGTTTTGTCTCGTCTAATCTACGAGGATTCAAGCAAAGATCGCAAAAACAAGGATTACCATCGCCGCCTTCCTCAATGCTTCCGTAAATACAAAACCGCCCACCCCAACAACCTATAAACCACAACAATCACCAGCAAATACCCCACATACTTCCCCGTATGCCCCGTCCCAAACCCATAAACCGCCAACACCGCCTTTCCATCCACCAAACACTGATTCTGCAACGCACTCGGATACATACACTGACACCCTCCGCCCTCCAACCTCTCACACTCATACGTCCTCTTCCCAAACTCATTAACCATCATCCCCCTGAAGACATACGCCTGATAGTCGATATAATGAAAAACATACCTCCAAAACACATTGAGCGTATCGGGCTGAACCATAAACCCATTCACGCACATCCAAAGGCCATTCGCAAACGCCGTCGCCGCCAGCGCAACAACAAAAATAGGTATGAGCGACGACAGAAGAACGACCAGAGACTCCGCGGCGAGTAAATCCAAAAACAACCACAACACCCACATCCAGAAGCCGTCGGCGCCGGGCCGGAAATTGCCTAGCCAGTAACTCACCACGCTGAACAGTATGGTAATGAGAAAGAGGTACGGAACGCCCACGACAAAGTTACTCAGCATAAACGCCGTGGGACCGTACAGTCCATTCGCGCGCTCTTTGCTGTAGATGGCGAGGTCTTCGAGGTACGCGGGGATGTAGGCGACGGCCATGAAGGACATGAAGGCGCCGCCGAAGAAGATGGCGTTGGTGAAGGCTTGGATGTTGGATTGAGTCGGGGAGAGGCGCAGCCAGACTGTGCCCATCATTATCGCGAGGCCGAGGTACATGGCTATGCGGATGCCGTAGGCGACGATGTCGCGGTGGGATTTCAGGAAGGAGCGGTGGGTTAGGGTTCGGGTGGTGTGGAGGGGTGAGGCGTGGGTTTTGGTGGAGGCTGGAGAGGATGTGATGGGGGTAGATGAAGCTGTTTCGGCGGCGGCACGGATGTTGGCGGTTAGGGAAGCTGCGGTGGGTGAGGTAGCCCAGGAGGTGTGGAGGTGGGTGAGGCGTTGCTGGGCGGTGGTGCTGTCATGTGAGAAATCCGTGTTGATGAGGTCGATGACGAATTCGGCTGGGTTCGTGTAGAGTGGCATCTACAAGCAGAGGTGACATGTCAGCTCCTCTCTCACCCAAATACTAGATGGCGTTGTCAAGAACAAAAACACGTACCTCATACCCCAACCCCTCAAACCACCCCTTCACCCCCTCAACCCCGCCATTAAAAACCACCTTCCCCCCACTCAACAACATCAACTTATCAAACAACCGAAACGTCGCCGTAGACGGCTGATGAATACTCGCCACCACCAAAATCTTGTACTTCTTCGCTATATCGCGTACAAACTGGATGACTTCGTAGCTCGCCGCCGAATCCAGGCCGCTGGTCGGTTCATCCAGAAAAAGGATTCTGGGGCTAGTGATGAGTTGGCTGGCGACGCTGACGCGCCTTTTCTGGCCGCCGGACACGCCTTTGCGGATGGGGGTGCCGATTAGTGTGCCGGATTGGGGGGTTAGGCCGAAGGAGGTGAGGAGGGAGGTTATGAGGGTTTTGCGGGAGGAGGCGGATATGGAACTAGGGGTGGTGAGTTAGAATGCTTTGGGATAGGGAGGGGCCATGTCGATTACCTTGGGAGGGCGAGCTGAGCAGCGAAGTAGAGAGTTTCGCGGACGGTAAGAGAACCGATTAGGGCGTCTTCTTGCTCGACGTAGCTGCTTAGTTTGCGGAAGGAGGATAGGGTTGTCGGCGCGCCGTTGACTCGAAGTGTTTGTTGGATGGTGGCTTTGGGTATGGCGGCGCGATGAGCGAGGATGTTGAGAAGAGTCGTCTTACCAGAGCCACTGTGTGATTCCTGTCAGACAGCTGTTCGCAAGGCTGTGATATTCTGAACGTACCTTGGACCCATCAATGCCATCATCTCTCCGGCTTCGATCATGCCGCTCACGTTGGATAGGAGATCAATTGGCTGTTTAGTCGTCCTATCTTTGACCGTGACAGTGATGTTCTCCCAGCTGAAGCTCTTGACTTCATCGTTGGCCAGATGCGCATAGTCAGTGCCTGAAGCAGCCTTCTCGACGTCCTCCGCAGTACTAGCTGAAGACATGACTGAACTCGCGAACCTGATCAATGCCCCGTGATACCTTTGTTTTGGGTGTGGAAGCTAAGTGAAGGTACACTTATTGCGCACGAAATCCGTAAGAGCTAGCCAAGTACAATCCAACAAAGAAAGGGCAGCCCGCAAGCATATAACATGCGTCTGCCCCCCGATACACTCACGCCCCAAACCCCGACAACCCACGGCCCGCTGCGAAGACCCCGACGGTCCGATATCACAAACTGTCATCGGCGACAACAATCAATCCAGGTCACCGCAAGGGGTGGCCTGAAATCTGCGATATGCCGCGCCTCGATCTACTACCTTACATGCACGCACACCTCATTCCGGAAACACCCTTACACCATCTCAAGATGAGATCAGCATAATCCTGTGGCTGAACGCTGTCTGCCAACGGGTATCTGCACGCCTGTATCGAACGGTTCTAAGCGAGTGTGGGTGATGAAAGCGTGGCGTGCAGAGGCGAGATAGATGGTATGTGGGTGTTGTGTTTGTGATTCGCTCGTGCAAGATTGGGATGCAGGATGCAGTATGTTTGAGTATTAGACGCCGGATTCGGGGTCTTATTGGAAGGTCTCCTTGCAGTGCGGTGCGGCGTAGTATCATGCCTACTGCTACCTACTCCAGTTCTTTCCTGTGACTATGGAATCGGTCCAGCAAGCACCTAGGCACCTGCAGCGTTGCACTTCTTGCAGAACAGCTCCGCAAGCCCGCACACCCATCCCGACAACGAAGCGGTGAAAGCCTTCCACAAAACCATCATAACACATCATGTCAGCAAAACGCGCTGTTCCGCGGCGTAGCTGAAGCCCTATGACTGGGCCAGCCTTATGAGCAGTTCGGCGACGTCGCACGAGGCGGCGTCCGTGCGCGTACAACGTCGCCGAAGATGACAGGGGCGTAGATCTAAGCGACTCAGCGGGCTTGCATAACCCCAGGCGCATCTTTTTGTATTCGCGCTCCTGATGATTCTATTGCAACGATTTGGAGTGGGTACGGCCCCGGGCGCCGTCTTGGCTGTGTATGATGCTGCACGCGTTCCAAAAACGTGCTGACATGCTGCATGTCAGATCTATTGCTGTGCCGGGGCTGAAGATAAATGTCATGTTTGAATTCGCCACTATAGCTAAGGTGATACTACAGCTACAACAGCCTTTCCTGGCAAGAGTGGTTCAGAAGAACAAGAACTTGCGCATCTCTAATACATAAACTCACTAATCTCCAACAACTGCGCATCCAACGCCCTCTTCGCCTGCACACTAGCCTCCCTATTCTCCGCATTCAACTTCTCTTCATACGTCATCTGCAACAACCTCTTCACTTCCTCTTCACCAAACACTTTGCGTGGAACCCCGAAGCCTTTACCGTAGTCTTTGGCACGAGCGATAATCGCGTCTGGGCCTGCGGTGAAAAGATCGAAGAAGAGGGCTGCGTAGGGTAGGGTGGCGCCGTCTTCGATGTTCTTGAGGTTCTGCTGCAGGACGAGGATGTTGAGTTGCATGAGCGCGCAGCCGTTGGTGTTCATGCGTGTGATTTTGGAGGTGCAGAGGTTGAGGAGGTAGGTGTCCATTAGAGTTGCGAGGCCGCGCGTGATGTGCACGTATGAGGCGGTGGGTATGTAGGTTGATACTTCTGTGTCGAAGGAGACGAGGGTGGCGTTTAGAGCTAGGATAGCGGGGTCGGGGTCGCTGAGTAGAGTGTCGATGTAGATGTTGGGCTGGATGCTTGCGTTGAGCGAGTACAGGATTGTTGATCGGATGGAGAGGTGCAGGGTGCGAAGTACGCGCGTGCTGAGGGCTTGGTAGGTTCCTACTACTGCGTCGAAGATACTGGTCGTCGATTAGTAGGTTACGGCTTTTATGGATATCGAGTCACTTACGCGGCTGTATCTGCGCTCAATGGGAGGTAAATGTGAGCGCTCTGTGGTCTGGGATCGGCAGAGGAGAGCTGCGTCCATCGTCTGTTGTGCCTTTGGCCACTCGACTCAGCGTTGATCGGGTCAGAGGCACGATCACTAATATGCCGAAGTTGGGCGGTCTTGGTAGCCAGCCACTTCATGCTTGTGTACAGCAGACATAAGCTGACGATACTCTTCTTGTCCTGTATCATGTCCGCTTGATCTAGAGGCTCATCGGCTTCGACTGCTTCGATCAAAAGAGCAACTTCACTTTCGACGGCCTTGTTCAAGCTCTCTTGGTCGGACGAGTCTATTCGCACCAGATGGGCGATGAGGTCTTCCATTGCTTCGGACTCCGACCAGACGGCGGGAGCCTTCATTAGACGACCACTTGCTGTAGCCTGTGATCGACTGACGAGGGCTTTATACCAGCCTGTGCATTTCTGAGCGTATGTATCCATTTGATTGACGATGAGTTGGGAGAACGCTTGGTCATGGGGAAGGTTATCTAGCATCTTGCAGAAAGCTGTGATGAGTGTGAAGAATTGCGCAGTACCCTGTTGAGTTAGCAAGAGTAGCATATGACGAATGGAGAACATACCTTGAAAATGGGCTTCTTTGAATGTTTCGACCATTGAGTGTCCTCATTGAACGAGTCAACCTCGATGAAGGTCTGAGAACATAACTCGATAAGTGTCTCATCGAGCTGCGGGTGGAAGACGTTGACGAGGAAATCGTCCAAGAACGAGGTCAAAGTACTCATGCTAATGTCAGCGTTCGAAGGTACAACCTCCTTCAACCGGTTCAGGAAGTCTAGTGATGGCGGTAATAGTATGCCCATGTTGAACACACTAGGCTCAACGAGCAACTTATGCCCAGTCGCACTGCCATCGAGATTGGTAGCCGTGTTGGTGTTGACATCCTCTGGTCTCTTTGAGTCAGATA